AAAAACAAAACAAAAAAAACAAAGAATAAAGACAGCTTTATTTTTTCCGATGCGCACGCACGCAGGCTGCATCCGTTGCGAGGAGAATGATCCTTGAGCTTTTCCGACATTTAATATCCTGCCGTGAGATACTTTCATCCTCCGTTTTTCCACGGGATGAAGCCGTGTAATATTCGCATACACAATTCCTTTTTCAACGTTCTCTCTTCTTTATATTTCTCTTTCGTTTTTATCACAGCTACACTTTCTGTGCAGTTGCACGTTCGCGTCCCGTGAAGGAACTTGCGCGAGACGAAAGAAGCTTATTAGATTTTTTTTTTTTTCTTTTGTCTTGCGGTTCGATATTAATTATGACGTGCAAGGTGCATCTTAATCGCGTTTTTCGTTTGAATGCGATTAATCAAAAGACCGTCCGACGTGAATGTTAATACTACACTTGTCTAGGAAAAAATTTGTTTGATGATTCTAAAATTGCACATCATGTTATAAATTAATAGATGATTCTATAAAATATATCAATTTTTAATTTTTACGTGTTTTTGACTTCGGAGATACGTATATTACGTTCAAAGTATGTAAATGCGAAATATTTTTCCACAATCACAAGATTGACTTGTCGGAAATAAAAATTCAGTAAAAATCCGCGCTCGCGAGAAAGATCTTCAATCTTCTCTTCGTATTGCACTTTTTTTTTTTTTTGTCGTTATCGGTCAGCAAAATGAGGACGAAGATTGTACGGCACGAAAATAACAAATTAAGACGGATCATCTCTCTGTCTGTCGATAACTAGCTTTTCGTCCGTTGCGTAACACTACTTACATTAGAGCAATAACTCATTAGCGAGATCCAGGATAGATGTAGAAAAAAAAAAAATTAAAAGAGTATAATAACGTAAAAATGTCAAAGGCGTGGCGCACGTGCTCGTAAATGTTCGGCATTTTCCATCGCGCTCGAAATATCTCTCTCCCGCGCCACGTCGAGAGTTGGACGTTTCCAATTACGTTGTATTCTCCGTCGCGAAATGTGCTCGGGTTTCTTTCGCCGCGCTCGCGTGGCTCGAAGGTAACGAACGGCGAAGTTCATTGTCTGCGACCTTATTCGAGTGCGGCAGGCAATATTCTCGCGCCCGCGTTCGCGAATGTAGGCCTTCCCAGCCGGTTAACTGGATCACGGCACGCAATTTCTATCCTAGACCTTCGCGAGGTCCGTCACGTTATCGCGCGAGATCAGCAGTCGCGCGCGCGAATTGATCTTGATTCCTGTCAGCGCGCGCTGTCGCGAATGCAATATTCAAATCCGAACGACGAGCAAGAACGTCGCGTTTAATCCAGCGGCGACACGCTATGCGAACGCGCGCGATTTTTCTCTATAGACTTGGAGTGAATTGTTTTTCGAAGAGAAATTTTTATTGTTATTATATTTATTCTGATTTCCGTTCTTATCGGTCAGAAAACAAAATCAAAATCCTTAATACCGAAATTGTTCGATTTTTCAAAGTAAGATATTTTATACGCGAATTTTACAGATTCGAGAAAGTTGCGCACGAACTTTTTTTTTTTTCATTGAAATTGAAGGACTTAATCTTGTAAAAATTTTCTCGCGAAGAGAAATCCGGCTAGATTTAAGAAACGTAAGGATTTTCTATTCCCTGCGGAAATATTTTCGATTTAAATTTATTCTTGACCTATTTATACACTGCGATGCGTGAATTTTTTCCAGAAAGAAGTTCTCGCTCTCTTCTCTCAAAAAAAGCATTAATAGCCATTAGTGTACACATTAATTACAGTAGCCATTAAACTCAAATAGGGTTGAAAATTAAATTGTATACTAACCGACACCGGGTCTGAAATAATCTGAGATAACGGTTTCTAATGAGCTTACGTCTGTCCGTGATCAGAGAAGAAAAACCGATCGATTGGCAAGATCGGATTGCGTGCCATCGTTCTGTGCATCGCATGTCTATAGGTCTCTTCGCTACATCGGGGTTTATACATTGACCAGCATTGAATAGTTTCCGCGAGAGGTAAAGAAAATTCCTCCTGTGCGTTATTTTTCAGTCGATTGGCCGCTGATAGATAGCTAGAAGAAAACGAAGGCGCGTAGAGGGATAACTTTGTTCCCTCTTTTAGCGGAACGATTCAGTGCCGGTCAGTGTATGTACGTGTATATAAACCGATACGTTGGAGAGACCTGTGAGCACGCGATGCAAAGGACGTTGGGCACAATCGTGCAATTTAATCTCGCCGATCGATCGCGTTCTTCTTCTGATCACGGAGAGGAGGCGTAGCTCATTGCGACCGTCATCTTAGACTACGTCAGACCCTGAACTGGAATCAAGGTTCATTGTCTGTGACCTTAGCGCACGCCTGCTGTGTGCAACGATCTCGTTCGCAGATGCGGAGAAGCTTCGATTGTTAACTGGCGGCCGGCATGCGATCCGTCTACGCTTTTTCTTTGAGATTAAGACTTTTTGAAGGGTGACCGAAAGCCTTCGTTTGACGATCGCGTGACGTCGCATAAATTTAACTTGTTCGCGAACGGATGTCGAAAAATTGCACTTCTTCAGGAGGGCTGAGTCTTTTAGCTTTTGATTAAACTATGCTTTTATAGGTACGTTTGTGTGTAACGCCCATGAGATTAATTTTTTAGCAACAATCGACGTTCAGAAAAATTGCTCTCCCGCATTCTTTCTTTTAACACATATTCGTCAGAATTAATTAATTAATTCCGATATTATTGCCGATAGTTTTTTGTTCATAGTTGAATGCTCGTTTTTAACTACTAGCGTAAATGGAAAACTCATTGTGTGTTAAAGTCGCGAATGCTCTATATATTTAAATGTCGTTTCGCGAGGCATCAATCAGGTGTCATTGCATATCCACTTCACCAGAATGTGCGGAACGTGGCTGCGAATTGAAAGAACGCGCGCGAGATTGTCGGAAGCTCGCGCGAAAATCGCTCGCGACATGAATTTATTATTGGCGTGTCGATATTAATTTACAGCCTGTCGTTACTTTTCTGCGTGTGTTATCACGTTATAATCAAATATGATTCGAAATATCGCGTCGTTTTGTAGTTGTTGATGAATTTTTCCATTATATTTTCGTACAGCACGCGATGTCACTTTTGCACAAAGCGAGAGAACGACTGTTTTTTTTTTGTTTTGCGAATTCCACAATTTATAGGAAATGGGAACAAAACACTTTTTTGTGCAAAATAATTTTAAAAATTGATTTTTTTTTTTTCACAATAAAAAAAACACGCTGTACGAGATAAAAACTGTGCTGATTAAAACTATTGGAAAACGTGTACGAGAATTATATGATTTATTTTTCGAAGAGATTTTATTTGTTTTAAAGTAGGAAACGTATACACGTTGTAACTCTTCCGTTGTTGTTCTCGAACGTGAAATTGCCAGTCGACAAACACACACCAAGCTCACACTCAACACACACACACACACAGTGGATAGAGGTAATGTTCGCAATCAGCTCGGGTGGAAGTTCTCGCAAGGCGGCCATTAAGGACGCCAAGTGGCGGCCGCAATCTTTGCGCGAGACTGAAGCGCATCGTCAAGTGAAAAGGAAACCGGCTGTTGCAATCAGCAACGCGATACCCGCGACGAGACGCGCATTCTCTCACGTGAAATTGAAACCTTCGCGAATCCCTCCGCGATTTTCACCGTGCACGTACAACAGCGATACACATGTCACGTTACGAGGAATTGATGTATAGTTCCCGGATGGAAACCGGGGGTACCGGTGGTAGCACAAGCGCGTTTCCATGTCGAGATATTGAATTTCATTCGCGAACACTCTCTCGAAACGAATTATCCCGATGTTCCATTAATTTCACGTACGTAATTTCAAATCCCGAGAATGACAATTTTCCCCCATTTCATGAGGGTACATTACGCGTCAATTAAAGAGCGCGGAGAGCTATCGATAGCACGCAATATCAAAATTCTAGCATATCATCAAGCCAAAATATTTTATTCCGTGTGATTATCGCTTTTTTTCTGTAAGTACGTGTGACATTTCTCTTTAATGTGTTCGTTGTTCGTTACATCGGACGAGAGGCGAGATATAACACACTGTTTTATTTTGTTTGTTCCGTTTGTGTTTTACAATATAAATGCGAAATCTCTCTTTTAAATTGCGAAAACAGTTAAGTTATTTCAATTTCCGTTTGAAATTTGTATGTTTTTTAGCAAATACGAACGCGAAAAAAAAGAGAGAGAGAGAAACGGACGATAAATTACTATTTGCGCGTTGTTTTTCTTTGCTGAGCTGAGTTCTGTTATCTGGTTTTCCCCGTTTTTTCAGTTAAAAACGTACCCTCGAGGTTAACAGGTGAGCCATCCGGCTCGGATCCAAAGAGCAGAACGCGATGACAGTTTGCCTTGCCAAACGGCAGCGGAACGCGTTAACAACCCGCAGCTGGCACGTACGCGTGGATGGCCGATATACATATGTATGTATATGTGTGCGTACGTTCATACATACATTACGTATATCTACGGTCGGAGAGAGAGCACCTAACTCGTCGTTAGCGAGTGGAGCAGCGGGGTGGCGGAGGGTGGATGGCGGCGGGTGAGTGGGTGGATAGGTCGGTTGCGCTGGCGGGTGGTCTAGCCTACCTACTCGGGTAGTAGTAGGTGCGCACCCTACGCGGCTACCAGGTGAGTGGGGCAGAGGCCAACCCCTGATACTCGACGCGAAACGCGAAAAACCACTTGTGCGTATGTCGTCGCGTAGCTCCGATAGTTCGTCCTGATTTCGTTACGACACGCGTCGCGCGATCTCTCAGAACAAAGAGAGAGAGAGAGAGAGAGAGAGATAGAGAGAGAGAGAGAGAGAGAGAGACAAAAGGAGAGAGATATAAAATCTCTCTTTGCGCACATGCCGCAACTCTTGTTTCTCTTTTCACTTCCGTTTCCTTCTCGTCTCGGATCGTCTCCGGAAAGTCTCCCGAGGTGTCCCGCCCAAGGGCGACATTCGCCGGATCGAAAGTGATCTACGCCGTCAGTATAGGTGGACATAGATCGTCGTGAAGTGTAAAACGTCGACAACGACGACAACGACGACGGGAGAAATAACAGTGTGTTTATTTCGCTCGTTCGAACTGGCTCGGTAGTTGTTTTTCTTCGAGTCGCGAAGGTGGATTTTTTGGCATTTTTCTTTTTAGGAGAATCCGGTAGTGAACACTGACGGAAATGTCTCGGGTGAGTCGAATGTCTACTGAGAAAAAAAAAATAAGGAATGTTTGTAGACCGGAATACAAAGTGATGTTAATCTCAGAAAGAGTCTTGTCGTACATTAAAACAAAAAAAAATTCCGCGGATTAAAAAATGTTTTGATGTATAAATAAAAATGTATCTATGTATATTGTGTGTGAAGCAAATAATAATTTAAAGTAAATAATAAATCACGAAGAAAATGAAAGAGAAAACTCTCTTTATTTTATAAACGGTATTTGCAAGTATTTAATAAATAAAAAGGAAAAATTTTCAAACAAGTTGCAGATTTGTCTGATAGAAATGCAAACAAAAATAAAAAATATAGTTTCAAAATTAATTTGAGCTATTTTCAACTGATATATTTACAAGATCGAAACAAAAATATCAGTGTAACAAAATCTATAGTAGTAAAAGTTATATAATATATACGATGCATGTATAATAAAAAAACTATATTGTGTATAAACCGACTATATATTTCTTAACCGAGAAAAATAAAAACACAACGAAGGTGATTACCAAATACATCAAATAATAAGCTTAAGAGAGTCAAAAGACACAAGAGAAAACAAAGTGACACCGTTGATTTTTCTGTTTTTTTGTTTATTTTTTTTATTTTTTTTTATGTGATGATACACTTGAAGGAATAAGCTGTTAATATTTTTTTTTTACATATCTTTTATACATATTTTTTATACATTGTATCTTGTATAGTAATTTTTGATTCAGTCAAGTTTTATGCATTCTATATTAGCTACAAAATGGTGCAGAATATAAACTCGAAATCATGTTTCGAAACTAGATATGATAGAATTTTTTGAGCTTCTATTTAACAATCAAGTTGAATTTGCTGTTCGTTTATTAGAGAAGTGTTTTTTAATTTACTTAAAAAAGAACAAAAAATATTTACAAAAAAATGTTATATATGTAGATTTTTATAAATTTTTGCTCTCTGGTCTTTTAAGTCGTTTTGCATTTTTATGTTTATATTTCATTGTAAAAAGACAAAAATTTTGAGCATTTATTCATATATAAAAACGTTCTCTATGCTTTTATGAAAAATTTCTTTTTTACTGTATTATATTAGCATATTCTAATATATTTTGTATCAAACTTTTTTTTAAGTATTTTAACATAAAATAGAGGCCAAGTTTTTCTTCTTAAACTATATTTAAAACATTTGAGTATATTTTAACAAGAATCTTAATGTTTTCTACTTAACATATTTATTTTATTTTTTAATTTTACATTACGATTCAAATTCTAAGTAGATTGTTAAAGTAATCCTTGGAAGATCACGTGATGTCGATAATAGAAAAAAAAAAATAGCAGCTTTATCGATCTATTCTGTTTTCGAGTATATTCGGATGCAACTAGGCCGTCTTCTCAGCATCCTTGATAAAGGGTTTGGTTGCTATCCTAAAGAGGAGTTTCGAAAGTTATCTCGATAGAATTACGAGACAAGTTTCAAAGACATCTTCTCGCGGTTTAGGTCGTTTATTTGTCGAAAGGATGATTTAATCGATGATTAAAAATTTAAAAAAAAGTTTTTGATAGAAAAAAGTTCTCTAGTTTCTTAGAAAGAAACTAGTTTTATTCTTTCGGATATTTAGTTAATTATTGGATAAAAGCACGAATATATAAAGAGAAGGTAATTTTACGCTAGGGTAAAAAGGGGTATGAAACACTTACAATTAATGTCACGCTAAAAATGGAAAAACTGCTCCGGCAAAATGCGATACAGATTATGCTAATCTTATTTTATGCGGTCGCGAGGGAATTATGCGCGCGTAAAGTGAGTGACGTAATGCCGTATTAATAAATGTAACTAATTATCTTCTCTGCGTTGTTCTCAAAAAATAATATATTATTATCCATATACGCTACTTTTTTTTCAATATAACGTTAACGGTACATCAAAATACTAAAACGATAAATAAAAATTGCAAAATCGATGAAAAACGAATTATGCGAAAGATTGTATCTGTAATGTGGAGTTTAGTGGAAATTATTTTTAAAAAGCGCTCTCGCAGAGAAGAGAAGAATGACTTTAAAGATATGCGTTCAAATTCTAACAGCTATCGTTCGGAGATCGAACGAAAAGAATGATACGAAAATAATACACGGCGTTGTATACATATAGAGAGCTATTTTGATTTCTCTCACGAGAGAGATGGTGGTGGATTGATTCTCACAAATTGATGGTTGAAATCGATGACATTGGTATAAAAATAAAAAAAAAAAGAAGGACGCGCGTTAGAGCTCGCGCGTGTTTGGTCGGTTAATTAATCAGGAAATCGCGTTTGTGGCCCGTTTTATATACGATTTATATGCGATTCTCACACCTTCATATACATACACAACACTCGTAACAATTCTGTCACAATTGCAAACGAGACCGGCGACTTGTTGCACATACGAACGTGTTAATTTATTAATTTTCCGCGAATTCTGTCTTCTTTATGCCTCTGTCTCTTTTCTATATCGGAGCACGTGTTGCAGTTATTGCCGCGATCGGTGCAGTTTCGTTAAACCGACGCTATATAAGTACGCTGTATGCTGTTATACATACTGTTCCGAAAACTATTGTTCTCGATACGTGGTTGCATTTTCATATTGTCGTTGTTTCTTCTTATTGTCGTCTACGTGCATCACGTCTGTCGATTCCGAATATAAATGCGAGCATATACTGTCGCGATTATCTTTATCACATCGCATGTTGTAACAGAAACTGTACAATATTTCTGCAAACAACGACGACGAGACACGTTTCAGTTCCCGGGGGTCATAATTCATCCGTATGACGGCAAAGCGGTCCTGCCTTTCGGACTTTCGAACTCGCGGATCGTTTTATCCACCATTTATCATCCGGGAGGGAGGTGTCGCTGTCAATTTTCAGTGGCAGCCACGAGACTTTTTCGATTCGTTCTGTCGTATCGGCAACGTTTTTCCCCTCGACCTCGTTCTCGGAGATTGAGAAAAACAGAGCGAGATTGAGGGAACGCGTGCGCGACAGAGAGAGAGAGAGAGAGAAAGAGCCGCACACGGTAAAAGCTCGTTTGTACGTTAATGCGCAGTGTCACTTACGAGATCGATGTTTCGCGCGTAAGCGGAACGAAACGATCAGCAAAAGCCGGAAACCGAAATAACCGCTCGACGTCGTCTATCGGTCTTATCTGCGTCGTGTCGCGTCGCGTCGCATCGTCATTCGCGATTTATATCGCTCGGTTTCCTGCCGTTTGCTGCATAACGCAATTATGCACGCGGCGCTTTGTAAATCACTCACGCTCGATGGAACAACGAACGTTCGCAAATGTCAACAAACATCTGCGATCCATGTGTACGAGCTAATCGCAAAATCGTGGGAACGTGACGGACCGCGCTACGTCTCGATTAAGATCTTAAGAAAATTTTATCGTCGTTCGTGACGGAGCGTAAAATGGAATATAAGTGAGCTCGCTTAGTAAACTCGCTTACCGGGCGAAGACAACAAAACACTCGTGAAAAAGAAACCGTTCTGATGAATATAATGCCTAATGACACGCAACGCGCGCGCTCACACGACGAGCTTTACCACTTTTCACGTAGCTTTTGCGTTATCGCGCGTGGTGAGTGACTTCAAGTCGTCGCTAATTTAAACGGGCACACATCTCGCGTATCTCCAAGAACGAAAACCACGACGGCATTGCAACGATATTACAAGCACACTTGTTGTAACATTTTTTATACATTATGTATATAAGTTTACACAACATGATATAGCGTGATATATATATATATATATATGCTGGATTAGCGTTACGTTTTATCGACCGCTGAGACGTGTAATAGAAATAGCGGTGCCGTGCGTTAACTCTTTTTTTTTTTTTCTATTATCATAATATTATGCCGCGCAGACCCGCGGCATCACGCTCTTCTAATCAAGCGGATGAAACGATAAGAGATAAAAATTGAACGAATGAATGGTAGCTCGTGCAAGCGCGATACACACGTGCCGCAACTCGTTTGTCTTACGCGTTTTTGTCTATTTTCGTCACTAGTTTTAGTTTTTTAACTTATCATTACGTAGAGATATAAATTCGCGATTTATATAGTTAGATAGTAGATGCGATTTATACAGTTAGATAGTTTTTTTTTTTTTTTTTGAGATTTATCTGTCGATGTAAAGAGTAAGAAACGAAAGGTTTTTCCGGATCGAGTCATGAGAATTCGCTTAGTTACGTCTATCAAAGCAAATCGAAAGTCAATTTAGTTGACGATCGATCGAAATCGCGCTTATGTCTTCGGGCGATATTCTGTAAGAAATGAGAAAACGACGTTCGTGATCTTCCAATTATTTTCAATTGTAACAAATATGAGTGAGTTTAAAAATACAAAGAAGAAATTTTAAAAGAACGAAAAACCGAAAGAACGTATCTCTTAAGAGAAAAAGAAAAATATATAAGAAAATGTTTTTACTGTAAATGTTGATGAAAAAAAGAAATTATATGTATTTAAAAAAAAAAAAGTTAAGAGTAAGAAAGTATGTTGGAAAGGATATTTACAGATTTAGACGCGAGAGATGAATCCTTTGATTCTCCGTGACTGTTTGTCACAGATCACCGATCGCGTCTGACTATTGTCGGTGCTTTCTACTGAATCGTTTCATCACGTAAATGCCTGCAGGATTAATCGTATGATCAATCTGATCCGGACAACTTTTTGCAAGAGACCGAGATCGAAGGTCTGTCATTGAAAGTTTATCAGCGATTTTCTCAAGTCGGGGAGAGAGAAAAAGAGAAAGAAAGAAAGAAAGAAAGAAAGAAAGAAAAAGCGAACATTTTCTTCGTCGGCCGAGATTTTCTGTCTCTTTCTTTTTTTCTCGTGCTCGAAATCCGCGCACGGACACAAAAATAGAAACTGTCATTCGATAAATCGATCCCTCGCTGTCGAGACTGTGGATGGTTAGCGACGACGCGGTGGTGGTGGTGGTGTTCCGTTCGTTTGCGTGTGTGCGCGCGTGTAAACATACAATCTACGCGTAAACTGTAACAGACATGAGTGCTTCCGGAGCGATTCCACTGATTTTGGCGAAGAAGGAGCAGATTGTTGAAGGCAAGTAGCTTTGCTTGTTGGTAGCGTTGCTTGTTTTTTTTTTATTTTTTTTATAGCATGTTTGAGAGAGTATTTTAGCTTGGAACACCGGAAATCAGCATGTTCTTTTTTTTCTTGGGAAAAACGAAGGGAGAAGAAAAGAATTCTTTAGAAAAGTACCGTTACACTTTACCAGTATAAAATTTTGCACACAGATTTATTCGTGTTTCCGCAAGAAAAATGCAAATTTCCGAACGTTGTAATATGCAATATTTTCAAAATTATACAATAGTACAAAGAGTGTAAAAAAAAAACATAGATAATATAACATTCGATATGAAATAAAAATTAAAAATTTCGAACGTAGATATAATACTGTAATAAACGGCCATACGTACGAATGTATCTTTGTTGTTTACACACGTAATTCACGAAAATTTTCTACTTAGCTGTAGAACCCTAAACGATAGAACGCATCGATTTTGTCAAAATCGTCGAAACTGGAACATTCCTTTTAACGCGCGCCATTTTAGCTCTATGTGTTCTTTTTGAGCGTTCTGTTACCTTCAATTTAAAGTGATCTCCGAGCCATTCGCAATACTTACTCAAGTGCTTACCTTGCTAGCGTGAGGGATCCTCAAATAATTCGCGCGCACGTGTGTCATTAATTAATTTTTCGTCGACTGTGCGGATCGGTCTATTCCAAATCAGCGAATTCTAATCAAGGATCTTTGGACTAAATCTCATGTCGAGATCGTAAAGACTCGCTATATAAGACCGTAATTGATGAACTTATTAACTTTTAAGAAAAAAAAAAAAAGATTAACACAGGGATTCACTCGAAACGATTTATGTAGAAAATAACATGTCCGGAGAGATTTTTCTTAAATTTATTGAATATTGTAAATAAGCAATTTATTAGAAATAGATTATAAGTAAGTAATTTATTAGATGTGTTATAATCCGCAAAAACATACAACTCATAAATATTGCCGCAAAGACGTCTGAATTTTCGATAAATATATAATTTGGAAGATAAAATCAATTTTGTCTCTTCTCCACGGATCGGCAATGTCACGGTAAGTGCTGTCATTAATGATTTATTTATTAAATTGAGCGCGAAGAGGTATAGTATTAATAAATATTGACGCAAAGAGGTAGAAAAACGTCTGTGCATCGACGTTAGAGGTTTTTACACTATTTATACGTGTCAATGACGCGCGGTAATAGCGTCTGTCTCGAATTTAACGATTAGATAATTCTGAAAGAAAATGGTGGTTTATTATTACACTCATTTGTTTAACGCGCGCAAATTTTGCACAGCGCGGCGTCAAAGTTGCCGTAATAGACGGTGTAATCGTTGACGCGCTAGAAAATAGATGATCTTTAAATAGATATCGAACGCACACAATATAAGTCTTGTCGTATAGACGACACCCGTGAATTGTTTGTGGAAATAATCGATGTAACGTGCTGATACGTTAACCGCGGCTTAAAATACCGCGAAGCAATTGCTCGAAGCAATTTAATGCAAGAGAAATTGCACGTACACGGGAACAACATCTGCGTATTTGCATGATGAGTTGCATAATCAATTACGTAACGTCCTTCAGAAAACTTTTTTAATATTTTCATGTTGAGATACAATTGTTAATGGGAAACAAAAAAAAAATCGAAAGAAGATGGAGAGTGTAATTTAATCGCTGAAGATATTTTAGAGAACGCGGTTCTCCGCGACAAATCTTTTTCTCTCGGAATTGCGAGATTGCAACGGTGTTTCCGCAAATTGGCAAAGATCGAGCGAAAGAGAAGAGAAGAGAAGAATCTCTTCAATCGCGTGGCAACGCGCGTTGATTGATGCGCAGCGAGCGATTAATCGATCCATCGTCGGTGACTAAAAAGCGAGTCATTGCGATTCGGTTTGTCGTTAATTGAATCGCGGCTTTTTCATTATTTCCCACGCGATTTTCAAATGCGAATTTGGCACGACAAAGTCATCATCTCGACGCGCTCGCTCGCTCGCGCGACTTTTATTGCACACCTGCGGCGGAAAATCTCTCTCGCTCGCTCGCTCGCGATGATTGCGAACTATTTTTGGATCTCTCTCGGTTTTAGTACGCGCGCGTAAGTCCACGAGGATAGTCCCGTGATAAGAATCAGTATTTACGAACAAGCGGACTAATGAGAGGGAAGGAAATACTTGCCGTATCCCTTCTAAAAGTAGACGACGAAAATAATAATTTTGGCGCAAACTTCCGTCGAGATTAGGAAACGATACCGCTGTGATAACATACATGTATTTTACTATTCGTTTACTCGCTATCTGATATATGCTAAACAGGTTTCCACAATAGCAGAATTTTAATATTGTTCGCGGTTGTGTGTGTGTGTGCTTGGTAATTTCAAGAAATTGGATATTGTTTGCGAAAGAGAGTTGGAATTGAAGAAACGCGCGTGGAAAGTCAGCGGGAAAAAAAATTCATAAACACAAACTCCACAGTCTCCGTTGAAATTCTTTAACAAAATAAAAATACAAGTTTTTGTTTTTCACAATTTTTACACGTGTCGAAATGTGTATCGATTTTCTCTTTGATGATCCCAGATGAGAGGAAGATTCTCTCTCCTTCTCATCTGTCAACGTCACAGTTTCATTATGTGCACACACAATAAATCGATCTGACGCGTTGTAATTTTGGTTTCAAAGCGTTAAGCTCGAGGATCGACGGTATAGTTCGCGATAACGACGCTCTTATCGCGGATGCTCTTCGCGGTAGTAAGCTCGTTTACCACCTTATGCCATCGCGTTCGGTCGAGGTCGACATTGTACGAGCAACGATATGTAAATGCGGGCCACCGGGAACAATAGCGGAGAATCCCCTTGGATTAACCCTATCCAGAAGTACTGTCTGTTCGGTGATCTCTTGAGCGGAATGAGCGTTACGTCTCTCGCCCGGTGGCTGAATTTTCAATTTATCCCGTCGTTAATCTCGATTAACCCCTTTGGATCTCGCGCACTAAGAAGTATCACGAAAGTTGGATTAAAAACCGGTGCTCCCAAGATATATATATATATTGGATCTTATTTCTGAATCCAGATCGTTCTACGATTAAGATGATCCTTTTTTATAGGATCGAATTTTAACGATAAATCGATTCTTTTCAGCGAAATTGTGATTTATTCCTGCGTATTTAACGAGAACGTTTGTTGTTTTGTTGCCCTCACTTATGCGCTTACTATTGTAACGGACGTTTCTTTAAAAAAAAAAAAAAATTTTCTTTCAATTCTTTCCTTTAATTTGAGAAGATATTTTTAAAATTAAAAGTACTTTAGTACTTTTACAACATATCTAAAGCGCAACAAACTCGGGATGAGATGTGATCTAAAAAATGCATATTAACCACCTTTTCAATTACAATTGACTATACAAACGCGCAATTTTGTCGGAGTAATGATTTCTCATTTTCTCTTTTCTCTCTGACTCCGCTGCGTAATCAGTCTACGCCCGAAACAAATATCGTCGGAAAGTTAACTTCGACATTCGTCTCGCAGCCGTTTGGAAGAGCGCGCAATAAAGTGCCGCTCGGAACGGGCACATCGATATTTCAACAAAAGTAACGAGTGTGGACGGTGAGTCGATCGAGCTCGGCCGTAAAACGTGTCTTATCCTATTCCTGATTCTCATAGTCGGCTGTGTTTCACGGCTACGCTACTTGCGATCGAACGCATAAAGTCCGCACAATGGACGTTAAACAGCGCGACAGTTAATTTCTAAACCAAGCGACGGTGAGTTATACTGCGCACAAAAGCTCGTCATCGTGGATTTAATTGCAAAGTGTCGAAGACACGCGTGGGAGTTGGTTTCGAAGCGAATTTTATTAGAAATTATTTGTGTGAAAGAGAGAGAGAGAGAAAGAAGAATATTACAGTTTGGTATTTAATACGCATATAATTGAAGACAAAATTTTTTGACTTCCATCTTCATCAAAGGTCTTTTTAGCTTTAATAAATCGACGTAAAGAAGAATAATTTAAATTATATAACGACGCGGTATCTCTAAGAGGCTCTTTTATCTTAAATCAACCTCTTTCGCAGCAAGTTCATATATCTCTACGCCAGAGCTAAACCTCGATTAGTCTTACGAACGTATTTATTTGGCATTCTATAACAATCATAAATTACTTTCATGCAAATTATACCGTAACAAAGTAAAATATGATAAAAATCTAGAATCGAGATGAGTTGAAACAAGGTGTGTCAACCTACCTACCTCGATCATATAAAAGTTAACTTTTTGAAACTTTATCACAAATATTTCCTACAAAATAATAAATATGAAAAAAACTAACTTTATATCAAAAACTTTAGATATTAAGCTACAAAAATATCAAAGTCAAACTAAGTAACATATACAAACAAGATACTACATATCAGAAAATATTACGAAAACTTACTTTAGGCTGATTTTATTGCACGAACGTCACAGAAATGCAACTGTTCACCGCACATCGCCGATGTTTACTATATAGTCGAATGTTATTTTACGTATATTAAAAAAACTACATTGTTGCCAAATCGTCAACTGTTATAGGTTTTGAAATATCGTCATTGTTTTTCAACTTACTTCTGTTTCATTTTATCTATGTCTCCCCTATAATAATATATCTATGTATATTTTATGCAATTACAATTTTAATATAAAAAAAGAGCAAGAGAGATAGATAGAAAAAGAGAAACAACTCGATGGAGTAATTCGCGACGATATTCGCGGACCACGAAGAAATTCCGCCTCACGCTGCCAAGATTTTCTAAATTCAGCGTTTCTCGACCGACACGTTCACGGTATAGCAGGCGCGTGTGTTGCTTCTACACTTTCCTAGCGCGTCCTTAAACTGATTTCAAAGACGCAACGCGAAGAAGAAGGGTTATTACATTTCGCCAAAGTTCTGACAGCTCGCAAATTGGTTGTCGCCGATATAAGCGACGTTTTCTCGAGAAGTCGTACGTGTAGGGTACATGCTGT